AAGCATTACTAAAAAGGGGAAGGAGAGTCCAAGAAGATCTGGGGCTGAAGACAGGAGGCCTCTACAGGGCTAGCCATCCCCATGCTTGAGGTATTCCCTCCCCACCCCAGGCCAAGTGGCAGAACCAGGTCTTCAAAGCCTTACGGAAGGCCAGGAGTGAGGGGGCCAATCACACCTCCAGGAGCAGAATTATTCAAAGTGTTAACTAAATATTTGGTTTAAGATTTGCTGATCTTGACAAAAAGCTTGACCAAAAATTGGACAAAATTGAAAAGGAATTGGGAGAAGGAAATAAAAAAGTTAATGACATAGTCAACTTGTTGGAAAGTGAGAGGGACAAAGAGTTGGATAAAGCTGTACCACTGGAATTGAGAGATAAAGAACTTTGTTTAAGGTCCAGGGAAATTTCTGAGATTAAAGAAGAAAATTTAATAAATATGATGAATGAAATAGAGAAAATTCTTTGTATAAATTCTAAGTATGCAATCTGGAATTGAGAGATAAAGAACTTTGTTTAAGGTCCAGGGAAATTTCTGAGATTAAAGAAGAAAATTTAATAAATATGATGAATGAAATAGAGAAAATTCTTTGTATAAATTCTAAGTATGCAATTGTATATGGTAAGCCAAGAGATGTGTTGGTCTTTCAAGTACACTTTGTTTTTAAACTTAACACCGAAAACATGGATATAACTATGCCTAAAGAAATATCAGTTAGGATTTTAAGGAAGGGAAGGGATTATGCTGTTTTGACAGATACTTTGAAAAAGAATAAAATCCTCTTTTGTTGGGAAGGGATAGGGTGAATTAAATTTTAAAATAAAAGAATAGAGTTAGAAGGCTTTATATCTTATTGATCTACTTATATGCAACTGTTTGAATGTTTTAAGTTGGATAAAGAATTATAGATTTGTTAATGAAGTAATTTATTCTGAGATGCAACTTTGTATAAATGATGAATATGTTATGGTTAAAATGTATAAGATGTTGTTATAGATGAATCTAGAAGATGAACAAGCCAAGAAAGATGGAAGGTCCCCCAAATACCTACAGTGGAAGAATGGATTATTAAACTAATGGACTTGGCTTAAATGGTGAAATTAATAGTATTAATAAGAGATATCATTTTTTAAATTCATCTCCTTATGGCAGCCCTTCTTAGATTACATGCTTGTGGGGGGGGGGGGAA